ATATAAAACTACACTATTATTATTACTGTATTATAAAACTGTAGGCCTACGTTTTTCAACACTGTTTACACAACAGTTTAGGTGATTTAATGCCAGTTAAACACTCCATGATACAGACTGACGTTACAGCCCTATTTATTGTTTGTAACTCCTAAAGTGTACAGCATTCATTTAGAAAAGAAGCCCCCCCCCCCCCCCCCCACTGTGACCTTGCAAGTATCGAAAAGAAGCCAATCTAGAAAAGGAGCCTATCTAGAAAAGGAGCCCATCTCAAAAAGGAGCCCATCCAAAGTTCGCAAAATAAATAAATAAATAATATAAAGAAGCCCAGCGCTTTTATTCAAGGTTTTACGGTTTTATTGTAAGTATCCTATAAAAGCAATTTTAAATATAAAGGAAAGAGGAAACAAACATCCACTGGCTATTAGCCGGGGAATGATTTTTTAGTGTTAAGGGCTTTTTGGATAATGGGGGTTTCCTGGACAAAGTGCATTAAAGATTATATTATAAGGATTTGGATTTGGATTTATTCGGTGTAAACACCAAGGATAGCCCACGAAAGTTTAGAAGAAGACTTATTTCCAGTGGGGTCCTTCTGGTGGTGATTGGGCAGTACACCGGGAGACAGTCCCCTCTTTTCCGAAGAGTGTAGGCCTACTGCGTTCTTTAACGTGCACATGGGGCATAATGCACACGGGACCAACGGGTTAAACGTCTCATCTGAAAGACGGTACGCTATTGTAACTTGTATTTCAGCCCTCTAGATGAAACACAAGGAGACTCGGAGCTCCCCGGTTTGCGATTTTTTTCCCGTACGAAACATTTGCATGAAACTTCACTCGGACCATCTCGGATTGACTCGAGTGAGTACGATCCGAGGAACAAGAGCAGACACTTCGCAATGTCGTGACGCTCGAGTTTTACTATTATTGCTCTTTCTATGTTTACCTACGGTAGGCCTATGAAATTTCACGGACTTATGTGATGTACGTCACTGTGTAACTAACTGTGACCTTCTTGGATGTTATTAAATGTTAGTATATTATCTACAACAACATGTACCTCCTGTTATACAGTGTAGATAGGTAGGCCTACAGTTATACCAAAGGCTAGAGAGAAATTTGAACAATATATAATGTTATGCTAAGACTAATAATTAATATTAAAACTAACGGTAATAAAAACAACATTAATAATAACAACAATAATAACAGCAATAATAATAACAATTAGTACAATGTAGTACCAGTAAATGACTTGTGGCCGAGTTGACTTGTGGCCGAGTTGATTTGTGGCCGAGATGACTTGTGGCCGAGTTGACTTGTGGCCGAGTTGACTGTAGCCAAACTTTTTGTGGCCGAGTTGAAGTGTGGCCGAGTTAACTTGTGGCCGAGTTGACTGTGGCCGAGTTGACTGTGGCCGAGTTGACTTGTGGCCGAGTTGGATTGAATTCAGAATTCGGGTTTTTGTTATGAACGTTTTAACCTTGACATCCATTTGGACGACGTGGACAGGCAGCCTCAACGGCTATCCATGTCCCACAGATTGTTGGTTCAGTCTTCACTGCTGCTGTGTGAGTACTTGAAACTGTCACATTCTGTGTGTTATTTGCTGAGAGAATTGTTGGTTTCAGCATAGAGGTATGGTTTCAGCTAGCTGCAATTAACGGACGGATCCTCAGACAGCGGCTAGGCCCCCTGCCTAACTACCAGCAGTACTACAATTAGGGGGCCTAGCCTAGGCTACTGCCCTAGCCTTGTTGGCTACCAACCAAGCCAGGGCCTGCGTAGCTAGCTAGTAACTAGGCCTACTGTAGTAATAGTAGGCTAGGCCTTGACATATTAGTAGAACTAGATAGTAGAGCAGAAATTTAGTAGGCCTGGGCCTATAATATATGATGTGGTAGTAGAGTGGGTGGCACCACTGTCAGTGAAGGTTGATACCTACTACTGAATAATAGGCCTACTTTACGCCTAATATGCTACACCCAGACTGTTCGGCTCAGGGAATGTATCCTCCACGCCAAAATTTGGCCTACAGATTTGTCCGTTTATTTCATAAAGGGCCGATTTTCAAGCATATTTTGCTGAAAATTAGGCTCTGATCTAATCTTAATATGTAATAATTATATACAATGTATTATACAGTAATTGCGATTAGCAATTTTGAGCTTCAGGTTTTTGAGATATCGTCCGCACATTAATTCAAAACTTGTAGGCCCATGGTACTACACTAGGCCTATACGTCAACTCAAAACTAACTTAAATTTGCACGAAAAATAGCTGAAAACATCACATTTACTTGTAATTTATTGAGACAGTCTTTAACAATTCTATAAGACATTTTCTTCTTTAAAATTAAAATTAAAAATCCTATTTAATATTATTATTTCCTGGTATTTATTTGTTGATGACCATGGATTGTGATATTTGACATACCCAGGTTGTTAAAGTTTGACGTACAACATTACTATCACTATTTCTTTTTAAAAAGTTTAAAAAATTGTTGCTCTCAGTTTTTGGGAGTCGCATGTGTACCCCCTATACCATTCAATGAATGAAAAATCTGATGATTTTGGGATGCAATGACAAGCATCATACCACAAGAGGGAAGCAAACTAGTCGGCTCTGACATTGGATTGGATTTATTCGGTGTAAACACCAAGGATAGCTTCCAGTGGGGTCATTCTGGTGGTGATTGGGCAATACATCGGGAGACAATCCCCTACTCTTTTCTGAAGAGTGTACTGCGTTCTTTAACATGCACATGGGCCAAAATTGCACACGGGACCAACGACTTAAACGTCTCATCCGAAAGACGGTGCGCTATTATAACTTGTATTTCAGCCCTCCAGCTGAAACACAAGGAGAGGCAGCGATGGGAATTGAACCAGGGACTTAGAGATGTCCACAGTTCAGCGCACACACAGTGGCTACCACCAGATTAGCCGACAACCTTATATTTGTTGTGTGCATTTCAAATGTCGCGCTAGTAACCAAAATACCCAGAGAGTGGGATTTGAAGCTATAGGCAAATGCAGTTGATCAAACAAGCATGTACTTTAGGGCTGATAGAAGAAATTGTTAGGTTATCACTCCCTCCCTCATCTAAAATTTGGAAATTTTGATGCGGAAATAAAAAACATTTTGTTTTTTACCTCATCAAAATTTTTAGCAACATATCGTGTGGTATGCAGAAAGTCTATAGCAAACTACAACAAAGGTGTTATACATGAGCATTTTGTAATTTTTAATCTAATACACTTTACCCAAACATGCAAATGTGCATCTTTGTTGTAAATAAATGTTAAGTTTGTGTTTAAATTAATTACGTTTAAATAGGCCTACTCCATATCTCAATAAAACAATCTAGAGTGATAATTTATATTTTTTCTATCAGCCCTTAACTCCATTGGATTCATCTGTCAATTTTGATGTTTTATACTGTACAGCTTACTACAGCAAGTGATCCCATTGGTGTGTTGCGATGACATCTGGTGAATTGTCTTCATATTAGGATGCAGCCTCAAAGAGACCACCTGACATCAGTGGCCTTAGCGGCACTCATCATAACCCTTGGATCATCTCGAATACCACTTACTAGACTGTCTGCCAATAATGGTATTTTTACAATTTTTTTTATTAAACTAATTTGTATATAATATATAAGACAAAAATTAATTGCATATTTCCATGTGTTATGTTTGCATTAGGAAAATACCATAGAAACAACAGAAAACCAATAGAAATACTAATCAGAGATCTTCTGTTTGCGGTTGACTTGCACTCTCTGCTCACAGCCTAGACAATATCTAAGCAATAGTCGACAGGTTTGCTGACGCAGTCAAGAAATTTGGAGTCGCAATAAGCATAGAGAAAACTGAAGTGATGTTTCAGCCTTGTCCTTGCGACTCCCACTATGATATTGAAAAATCATTTCTGCTAAAAATAAACTACCAATTTGAGGTACCGATAACTGTGCTGTGAAGCAAGATACAGTATTTTGGATTTTCCAGTTCAAGAATATAGGCCTTTCAAAATAAAAAAATAAAAAATTGGTGCGAAATGCTGAAGCAAAAAAGTGTGTGTGGCGTATTTCGGAGGGCCGTTTTTTAAAAAATACTTGGATGTTTGGTCTAAATATATTTTGTGTTCATTTTCTGTAAAAGGGAACATGGTGGATTTTGAGCAAAATCTAAGAGGGTCACCTGGAGACTTTTCTAAAAATTAGGTGATTTGACACTTATTTTTCAGGGGACAATACATCTTTAACACAATTTCTCTTCTACCAACAGAAAATAAGTATGATTATTTACCTCTCACTGTAAACATTTGTGCTGAAGCCATCAAGTTCACCATCTGCCTGCTGCTGTCATTACAATTGCTTTACAAAGGTATGAAGTTTGGTATAGGCCTACAGTAGTTTAAGAATAGTTATTCAGCGTGGCTAGTGACCCCACCCCCAAGCCTTCCCAAGTCTAGTCTAGGGCAACCCGACTGACTAAGTATTAGAAACAGTGCCACATTCCTTAGTCAAGATGCCTTGTAAGAGTATCTACCATGAGTTACTGTTTACCAAATAATCTACAACTCATTCCCACCCTCTCTAACCCCAGCTACAGACTCACTTCTCTCACAGGCCTTATTTCTCAAATCAAGCTGCTACCTATGTCATCATCATCATCATGGATCCCACTCACCGACCCTGGCTGAATCAGCCTATCCACACTTCTTATTGTTCAATCTTCGATCATTAGTGATTTAAATCTTGTTTTTATGTCTAATTTTTCAATTTACAGAGGGAAGGGCGATTTCAGAAATATTTGTGAGTCCACCAAATAATCAGTTACACGTTCTGAAATGGAGTATTCCTGGATTGCTTTACTTCTTGGATAACCTTTTAGGATTCTACTCATTAACATATCTGGAACCGGTGAGTCCACTATTTTTATGGGGGATATATTTATTTCAATTTGATGATGCATAAGATTAAAGTATTACATTTGGTAGAGACTTAAATTATTGATATAAAATCTAATCAGCAAAGGTCAGTTGACTTAATATTTTAGATTGGTTTATGATATTATTAATTCATTTTAAAACATGAAAATTATAATATACAAAATATTGACTGCTCTAGATTCAGGGAACGGTGAAATCTATTGGATTGCCCAGTGGAGACTGTAACAACCTACTATCTTCCTGAGGGCCAAATGATAGTAGGCTACGGTCTCCACATCACAGTGGGCTATAGATTTCACTATTACCCGAATCTAGAGCAGTCAATATTTGTTTCGTATACCTCATACATAGATTCTATTGGGGCCTAAAAAAATCAAATCAAAATCAAATCGTTCCATTTATATTGCACCATTCCAACAATCGTTGTTCGTGACGCAGTGGACAAGAGGGTCACTTCATGTCTGTATCTGTATCATCACGTACAAACACCAGCAAGCTGGTTGTCGTGTACGTCGGTCAGGTTGAGGTGTGTGTAACAATTAAATATTGTCCCCTGCAGTCGGTAAACCGGCGTAACTTTCATCTGTCCACGACAGGAGCTGAGTGGACTAGTACACCGTGGTACCCCCTACTCGTCTCGAAAGATGTACTGGGTTCTTTAAAGTGCACATGAGCACTTGTGCACACTTATCCGAGAAGACTTGTTCCACCACCAGAACTAGGAGCCAGGCGGCTGGGAACCCATGCCGGTATTGTTGGCTATGTTTTCAGTGCCCCTGCCTTAACCGCTCGACCATTCAACTCGCTCGAAAAACAGTAATAAAAAGAATACCCACTAAGTAGGCCTAGGCTGTCCAAGGGTCAGTCTCTCTTGTCGTAGAGGTTGCAGTCCCCTTAACCATAAATTGTCATAAATTACATAGCAACTTTATAAGTGGGGTCTAGAGATTACATCGCAATAGGAAAAAAAGTACAGTACTATCATTTAACGTACTAGTGGTTTTTCCCCCCAGGAATTTATGAACTACTGTATCATTCAGCACTGTACCTATACCGTACCAAAACCTACGGTCAATGTTCTTTTACTTATGCTTCCAAAAAAATGCCTTTTTTTGGAACCAGCTTCCAAATTACATAACTTCTTCCAAATCTATTTGCAACTTAAGACATCTTAAGACCTATTTGTTTTCCTGTGGCAATTCACATGTTGCGTTGCGCCTTTGATCTTGTTTGGAATTGGCGGCATATAAATTTGAGATTTTTTTTAACTATCATTCAGTCTACCTCATATAGTGATGGTTGAATTTATTACCCACTTTTTAACCAATCAGTTGCCTGGAATTTATATATGCATTATATAATAATCATATTTATCTTGATGTCCTGATATTGGAAGCTGGTACGCTATTACTGTATAAATAAATCTTCACTTCTTTCTTTTTCAATTTCTTTTGCTTTCCAGGCTGTTGTGGTTTTACTGAATAACTTTGTCATCATTTCAACATCACTTCTTTTTCGATTCATCTTGAAGTGAGTAAATCAAAAACTTTTTCATAATTGATTCACATTATAGTTATTGGGGTTATTTTAAAATTGATTATTTTTAAATGAATTTTTAAGAGTAATGTTTTAAAACACCATCTATCAAACTAACATGGGGGAAAAAAAACCAGAATTTTGGTTTAAAAATATGAAAATATTTAATTATTATAATTTTTATAATACAATTAATACTATTAATTAAAGAAAATAAAGATTAAATTAATAGGTTTTATCTTTTAGCTAAAAATAGTAGTGTACCTTTGATTACAGTACCAACTGAAATATTATTCAAAATTGATTTAGGTACTTTGTTGTTTAAAAATATTTTTGTATTATAATGTTTTTTCTTTTATTTTAATAGGAGACATTTTACAAAAATTCAGTGGGCATCAATCATGATTTTGTTTCTGGCGATAGTTTCATTATCAAACGACAGTAGCCATGGCAACTCAGTAAATCACAACTCTGTCAATCATATGCTAATGAACTTGTCAACAAAATCTGACCATGTGATTCTCTGCAGCTATGAAAAGCACTCTCAAAACAAAAAACTTTTACCTCAAAGAAACATTTTGAAAGCAAAAACACAGAGTACGAGAGTGGATGATAAACTGTTCAATATGGGCCATCTCTTGATTATTATAAGTTGCTTTGTCGCCTCATTTGCTAACATCTACAACGAAAAAATATTTAAGGAAGAGGGTGGGCTTCAGGAGAGTATATACTTCCAGAATACGAAACTGTATATGTTTGGAATTTTCTTCAACTTCATCTTATTAGTATTGCACAGCGACTACCGGCAAAGGGTATTGAAATGCGGGTTTTTCGACGGATACAATATATACTCATCAATCTTAATTTTTGATGTTGCATTTCTTGGGTTAACTGTGTCTCTCATCCTCAAGTTTAAAGATAATATGTTTCATATCTTTAGTACTCAAATTATGACTGTTGTAGTTATAACTTTTTCGATATATCAATTCGGTTACAATCCGACGCTGAATTTTTACCTCCAAGCACCAATTGTTCTTCTTAGTATTTATATTTACAACGTTAGTAAATACAGTCATAATGGTGGACATGAAACCCATACTTACAACCTGGTTGAGGAGGAAGACGAACAGGATGTAGGCAAATTCCAGAATCAGAATGGGGTAAGAAAAAAATCTTTTTTTAATAAGGTCGCAGTGGCGGATCCATGAATTCGAAATAGAGGGGGCTCAGAGAGGGACTTTTCACAGACTAAGGTCTATACTACTTCAGCCCCACCATGGTTGGGGCTGAGGTAAGGAAACTTTTGAGTTTGACTTGTCTAGATAGTTCGAAATGGCACTCTCAGATTTTAATATAATTTTATTTTTTTCTGTTTTTTTTATAATTTAAAAAAATTTAGGGGAGCCTGGGCCAGATCTCACCATCCCCCCCCCCCATTCCACCTCTGGGTCATGTGGCGTAGAGGAAGGCTTCAGGCTTTCAATCATGAGGTCATGAGTTTGAGACTGACGCTGGTCAAACTGTGAGACACCTTATTTACGTTTGCCTTCATAAAACCAGGAGTTTAAATGTATACAGAATTTGATTTTTTTTTTTACAATGTCTGTATAGTAAGCATTTTGATTATAAAAACATACTTGTAAATTTTTTTATTTTGTGTATGTGTTGACCCCTTGATAAAAATGAGGATGATACTGTTAAGGATCATACTAATATGCGAGAGAGCTCAGTCAGATAAACAAGTGATAACCACTGCAAATATTCTCAATGGAGTAATTCTAGATGAAATAAAAACTATAAATCGGAAATTAATTGCTTTTATTCTTTTTCTTTTCCACAGATCATTTCTGATCAGATTGAGCTTCATAAACGACGTTGTAATTCAGAAAGTTGTGGGTGCGAAATTGAGAATTGAAATCGCAATATATTGTACTAAAAGTATGTGAGATTCAAAAAAGCTCCTCCTGCAGTGAGATGATAAAGTCAAAATAGATACTGGGTATATTATAGTACTATACTGTACAGTATGAAATTGATTATAATCTGTCTGGTACACTGATTATGAATACAAGAGTGCACAAACAGAAAATGAGTATGCTATGCAAAATGCTAATAGATCTTACATTAGATGGATGTGTGCGCTATATAAAACTACACTATTATTATTATGATATATTTTTTTTAAATACTGTACACACAATTTTAAAAATTACTAAATATGTACTGTACTCCAAGTGCATAAGCTTAGCCAGCGAGCTGTCCAGCTCTCTTTTGGAAGGCCAATTTTGCCTTGACGGCTTGGACAGCTTGGTCTAATCAGCTTGGCCTAGTCTATTTGGGCCTGGTCTACCTTTAGCAAATTCTTTATATTCTTGAAATCTATCGAATGTTAATACATTAAACTAAAGCTGAATAATATTTACGTTTGACAAAAACCACATTTATTGATTGAATGTACGTTGTTTTTGTACCAATATTGGGTGGGGATTCCAAAATATGGGCGTGGTCTGTCCATCGGCTCAGTGCCACGCCCACTAGCTTCAATTTTGGACAGCCTATTTCGTTTTTCTGGCTAAACCCCTTCCAAGTGTTAGTTTTTGTTTTTTTTCCCCTGTATAGTCATGGAATGTAATATTCAAATTTAATCACAATTTTGCAAATTCAAGTTTCATAAGGCAGAATTTAACCGAAAAATCCAAAAAAATAATGAGGGTTTTGTCCTTGTAAAATGCTCCCGGAAAAATGCATACTTGTTAGAACAACTTCTGCTGTATGCTTTACATATAAAATTGATCCCCCTCTCTTTGTGAGATGGGTTGTTATGTCAAAATACTTAACTAAAATATGAGAGTGAGAAAGACCAAAGTATGAGATTGGGATCTTTATCTCATTGGCCGTTTCTGATTATTTCTTCAAACCCTCCTTTAAAATTTTGAAGCGCACCGATGTGCCATAAGCGTTTTCACAGATGAAACTGGCGCACAACCAATTTTTAATATTATTATTTTTCATCCGACCATCTGAAGGAGTGTTTTGGATTACACCCTGTTTCAGTTTTAGAATACTCTATGTGAAATGGATGGCTTATATCATGATATACAATGAGTGGGCTTATTTGAGAAAGCTCTAATTATGAAATAGTTGGTAAAATTACTATAATAATATAATAAGTGTATGTACACCGGTTCGGTACCGTTCATTATAATTTATTTTCATTTGAAATATTATATGAATTCATTTTACATACAAATACAAATGGAAGGGTCCACTAATACATAACGACAGAAATAATAAAAACAATATCAGTTAATAAACTATCCCCCGCTGGACACCATCCTGGTATTTCTGAGTGAAGGTTTCGGGGCTTGAAAATAATGATTGTGATTGTAACGACATAAACTACTATACAAGGTAAAACTATTCCCCGCTGGACACCATTTTGGTATATCCGAGTTGTGGTTTCGGGGCCATTATGAATTGAATAATAGGCTTAAACTGTACTTAACTAAAAACTAAAATATTTATTACATTAAAACACTGAGATTGTTGTATTATTTGGGGGATTGTGATTTCAGCTTGAGGGCTGAAATTCAAGTTTTGAAAGCGCACCGTCTTTTGGATGAGACGTACTGTAGGTCCTGTCTGCATAGTGGCTCACGTGCATGTTAAAAAACGCAGTAAAGTCACTCTTCGGAAAAGAGTAGGGGATTGTCTCCTGGTGTACTCCACCCCCTCCCCAATTCTCCACCAGAACCCCACTGGAAATAAGTCTTAGGACTTTTGTGGGTTATTCTTGGTGTGTATCACACCAAAGTACAAATCCAATCCAGTCAACTATTTTACTTAAATTTTGTGCTTAACATCATACCGTCTTGGAATACGAGATACGGATTGCTTATAACCACTCATATGGGACACACCTAGGGAACACTTTTTCAGTCCCAAAGTTGTCCCCTTAATAGGGGTTCTACAGTATTTTGTTGGATCACACAAAAATCCTTAAATATATTATGGATTTTCGTTTAACAAAAAATAATTGGATTTATTTATTTGAACCATATTTAAATGAGGGTGAACTATCCAGCAGAAGCTGATGATTTAGGACCCTTAAGAAATAGTATTGTACCTAAAAATAAGTGGATATCTGGTTTTATTTATTTTTATTTATTAATTTTATTAATACAGTACAGTACTATAATTTAAGCAAAGTCTGTATTGCTATACAGTATAAAGTAAAATTTTGCAAGTAATAAAGCTTGTGAGTGAAATCTGATGTCTGTCACTATGGAATTTGGTAACATAGTACAGTAGATTATTTGGTTCAATTTTTAACTCCTGCCAATAGCTGATAATGTCTGATATTAGATTTATATGGGTCATCGGAGAAAGCTAAGGAACCATTAACATGGTTCAAAGTTTCATGAGCAGAACCAATTACTGCACCTGCTGGTAAAATTTTGTATAAGCTAATAAACATTTTCAGATGATATTGAGTTAATATCGATTTTTATGTCGGGAGTATTTGAAAAAAAATTTAAACAGTGTAACCATAGACTTCATGATCTATTGCCCCTGAACGCCCCATTAAATATAATTTCAGAAAAAAAAAACCGTCTTTCACTTCCAAAAGTCGATCCTAACATTGTTTTTGCACAGGGTTTTTCTGTCCAGCATTTTGGTCACTTTCAGGCCCGTAGCCAGGGGGGTTTTTAGGGGTTCGGGAGAACCCCCTTTTTTCAGCATACCCCCCTTTTGCCAGCGAACCCCCTTAACCAGAAAACGATCCCTCGTTTCCAAAATAGTGCAATTTATTACAAAATAGGAGCATTTTTGGCACTGTTTATTTGTCGCTATCGTTCGTAGTCCGATCGTAGAAATTAAAACAAAGCTGCAGCCAGCTGAATGACGTAACCAGCAAGACTTCAAAATGAATATTAATGAGAGGTTTGTTGCCTAAGCTATTTGACCAATCGCGTGCTCCGTAGTTTATTTACTTTGGCACGACGTCGTCACAAAAGTTTGGGTGCTCGACATTTTTCATTTCTCTGGGATCGAGGACATGCGACACGCCAAAAATAGCCTAGGAGGAGGATGAAGCGCCGAGAAAGGATAACCGATTTTTTTGCTTCAAGACCAGCAACGAAGAAATCACGAAATTTAAGAAGTTAGCAAATTTACCCTTGTTTTCACCACATGCTCATGATACTGCCTGGCGGCGGGATCGGTGTACTTTTTCGGGCTAGGCCTAGGCCCTAGGTCTAGCGTTGCTAGGTAGGGTAGGGTCGTAGCCTAT